TCCTCCCTCCCTTTACCCCCCCACAGTCACCCGGCCCCCACCGCCCGCCATCCTTTCCCTGCCCCGACACCCTCACCACTGAGCACAGCTGCCTCCCGGGAAGGCCCGAGGGGGGCAGGTGGCAGGGCAGGTCCCGGGGGCCACGTCTGTCTGTCTGCCCCTCCGTGACGTGGCGCCGCGTTTCTGTCCCCCGCAGTGTCCCAGCCAAAGCGAAGCTTCCCGGCTGTGAGGACCCCCAAGGACATCACGTCAGAGAGCTCCATCTCCAGGTGAGCCGGGCCCTGGTGGCCCTGGGGCGGATGGGGGGGACACCCCCCGGCACCCCTAATTCTCCCCCCGGGACTCGCTGGTCCCGTGTCATGCCACGAGGCCCCCATGTGTGACCCCCAACTCGACCCCTGCACTTCTGGGCAACAGGGGAGAATTCCCCCCCCCCAGAGGAAGGACTTCGGGCTGCGTCTGATTGGCTGAGTCGGGGAGATCCCGACCTTTCACCTCTGGGGTGGATCCAACCCCGTTTATCTCCAGTGAAAGAGAAACTAGGAGCTTTGCTCACGTGCTAGGGACCTCGGTGCTACGTGACTCAACGTGATTCAGCGCTTGAGATCGACCTGCCCTTGTTTGCTAAATTGCGCATTAAATTGAAAGAACACAAACGAGGCGAAAAATCGTCATCAGCTATTGCCTCGTTTGTCTTGGAGTCGTTACAGTTAAATGAACGGCTCTTATTCAGGTTCCTAAAACAAAATCTCGCCGCCCTGAGCGTCTCTGAGATGTCACTGCGAGACATATCTACGCCTGAGTTAATGTGACCGCACCGGAGTTAAGGTTTTTAGCTAGAGCTAAAAAAACAGCCAGCAGCGCTCAGGGCTGGACACAGGCATGAAAGGGGGCCTGCAAATGGTAATTGTTTTGTCCGATTAGAATTATTATTATCATTGTCTCTGGAGAAGGCGGGCCCGATAGTAAAAGTTCGCCCAGGGCCACCAGGAGTCTAGGTACGGTGCTAGCAGGGCTGAGAAATAGCAGAGAGACGTTGGGGAGAAGGGCTAACAGACAGCTGCAGGATCGATTGGACACTGGGCCCACTGCAAAGGAGAGGCGGGTTGATAACACCGGTGGAGCGTAGAGATTAGCAGGAACCAGGGGGATATACTAGAGCCATGAAGTCAATTTTCTCACTGCTACCGCCTGGATAGAAATGCCACTGCTGCTTCCCAGGCGCGGCTGACGGTGAGTTACTCCGGGGTAGCTGTGTGTCTGCTCCGGGTCCCCCCGGGGCAAGTGTCCCAGGTCCAAGCCGACACGCCCGGCTCCGGCGCCGTGCCCCCTCTCTTGCCGCGCTCTGCTCTGTCTCCCCGCTCCAGCGCTGCCCCTCTCTTCTCTCTTCTCTCTCCAGATTGCTTTTCTGCTGCTGGTTCCCTTGGATGCTGCGGGCAGAGATGCAGTCGTAAAACCCCGGCCCCGTGCCCCCCCGTGCCCCGAGTAACCCAGAGACGGCTCCTCTGTCCCGGTCCCATCTCTCTCTCTGTCTCTCCCTGTCT